AAAAAAAAAAAAAAAAAAAAAAAAAAAACTTCAAAGACAGCTCAATGGATCGGTTTCAAATAAGGTATAAGTCTCAAAAATGCTTGCAAATCAATAAGATTTGCCGAAGCCCGTATGTCTTCGTGTCATAAGCACCAAAAATTGAAATAGGTAAAATCCCCTCATCTTATATGCACCATTTTGTTTTCGAATTTTCGAATCTTCTTGCAAAGAGGTATCCCTTTACGATCTTAATGTTTATAATGTCCTCGGAAAGCAATGATAAATACAATCGCAAAACATATCATTTTATTTTTTCATGGCAGAATAAATCGATATTTTAAGGACTTTATATATAGACATGATAGATATGACTTGTGGTTGAGGTATTGTGCAGATCTTATCACTAAACACAATATGACAAAGTCATTAGTGAAAATGTCGAATCTTTTGCTTTTTGACTGAAAAGCGTATGAAATAATGCTCAATTACGCTTTTTGATCGAAAAATATTGCATGGAAGTTTCTTACGTACGAGTAAATGCAAATCAACCAATCATATTTGCATGAGGACATGAAGTTCTTTGGTTTTGTTTAGTTTTTTTGTGCCTGTCGAAGCGGAAACGGCAAGAATAAGGGAAAATCCCTCACATATGATAAAAGTTATTATTTTGTCAAGAACCTGTTATCTTCCAGAATAAGATAAATAAATAAGAAAGCTTCGGCACTTTTTTCCTTTAAGTGTTCAAAAAGGCTAGGTGATTTAAAGTATTTTATTAAGTCTTTATGAAAAAAGAAAAAATTAATAAAATAAACACTGTAACATGATTCTCTAATCGTATAAACTTTTCTTTCTGTATTTCCGTTGAAATTAAAAATTGCAATGATATAACTCATTTGAAATTCACACGAAGAAAAATACTCAACGCCACAATTTTCAGCTTGCATTAATAAATTCATACATGACCTGACATAAACGAATAGATAAATGGATAACAAGAGAAAAAAAAACCAAACAAACAAACAAAGCAGTGGAAAAAAATATAGGAAAACCTTAACCTACCCAACAATTCGATTTTTCAGGTAAGTTTTGTCCTAGTTTACAAGTAGCTTTTCTGTGACAGAAACTTGGCAATGTAAATCATGGATCCGCTTGGACTTTCAAAAGGTATGGTATCAGGATAGGTGATGGAGACTATTTGCCTATGAAAGAATTTGATTTCGTTCTACTTCACTATTTAGGATTCTCTTCAACCGAGCAGCCATGTTTCTAATCACTACTCCGCCAATGTCATCTAAAATGTTTACGCCGTCCAGCCAGTAGTGTGGAAGATTTTCTTGCTCAAGGGAGTTTTGCAAGTACCCCAGAAATCCAACGAAGTGATCTCCAAGCGATGTTCGCGTATTCCAATAATGGCGCTTCTCTTTGATATAGTGCATGAAAGCTGTCTTCAAGTGGTATGACTTTAATTTTCCAAGGGAGGATCTTTCTCGATTAACGATGGTCTTTACTATTCTGAGGAGTTCGTGCCTACAGCCATGATCTCTATCCATGTACTCGAGAAGTTGCTTCTCTTTCAAAGAAAACGATTGCCTCCAGAGAAGACCTGAACTAGAGACGAATCGTCTCCCACAGTACGACTTTGCCACATAGTAATCATCCGACCCGATTTGAAAGCAAGGAACGAGGTCAACAGATAAGAGATATTCGTATGGTTCCTTCTTAAAGATGTCTACCTGTACAGCGGGTCCGTGTTGGCGCACCATCATGTCCAAGTCAGATCTTGGTACTCTAGCTCTAAAGTCGTCCACTGCTTTGTCAACGAGACTGTAGAACCAGCCATTACGAAGACGTTCAGGATTTATGTAACCTTCAGGATCTGCGTAGCGGCGGAATTTGGAATCGCTTCTCGCTTTAAGTCGGACGTACCCTGGTACATCCGAGTCCTCGACCATGACTTCTGGATCGCCCCATAACCATGGCGTCGAAGTTTTTAAAACCACCATGACATCGACTTCATCGGCAGCTTCAGTTTTCAGCCTTTCATAAACACTACCAGTATATTCAAGTCTCAGAATCGGAAGAGTAGACTTCTTCCGACAGTACCACATCACCTGGTTTTCAATGAAGTCCTTGACCAGCTTTTTGCTGCGAGTCATATCAGCTTCGGAAATCTTTACGTGATTAGCCAAAAACTCACGAAGTTTTGTCGTTAAGGTAGCATCTCCTAACAACAAGTTCCAAAGCCACATGATCTACATGAAATTCGTAAATAAAGCAGAAATTCATGAAATAGAATGCAAGTGGTTTTTCGATTGTACTTCCAATCATACTACAAGTAAAGGTGAGTGGTTAATAAACTTTTGTCTCAGATTATTGCTTTTGGTTGCAAAATGGTATCTAAATTAACAAAAAAGTGGAAGGTTTCCATTCAGTCATTCAGTCATTCAGATATTTTCGCCAAACATGCTGCAAATACAGTTTTACCTGAATCAAGGATCATTTATCACCAAGAGATTAACTATAAAAAGTAGAGGTTAACTATAAAAAGTGTGCGTAATGTTTGAGTCACAGACTTCTGTTGTTAAAGAGAAAACAAAAGAAGAATAAATAATACATTATTTGTTAAATGAATGGCGAGGATACTTTCTCATTTTCCTTCAACCTGAGTCTCAATTTTTGTCAACATTTATCTTAAATAGTCCTGAAAAGTCCCAATATGCGAGGTTCTTAGCCTAATTGTAGCCGTACCCTCCCCCGCAAGGTGAAACGGAAGCTTGGGAATTCCGCTCCCTCGCTTCCGTTTCACCTGGGGGGAGGGGGGGGGGAGCGAACACAGTAAAACCTTTCATCAATGGGTTTCTCTAATCATGTCGATAAAATAGCTTTTGCTGACTTAAGTTTTTATCACGTTACAAAATCTTTAGTCGTGGGCTTAACGAAGGCAGTCAGGGGAATCCTTTGTCAAACGTAACATCGAATGTTCGATGTTTTGCTACCAAAGTATGGTAATTTTTCAATAAAACAGCAAGCAAAACACGTTAAAATCAACATTGTTTTGATTAGAATTTTTGACCCAGTTCTTTTGTTGATTAATTTTGCATCTTAAAAACTGAATATGAATATACAAAGTGAACAGCTAAATTATCTAGGAAATTGTTTTTGCTGAACGTGACTATATCAAAGAATGGATGCACTTGGCAAGGTTGGAGAACACGTGGCAAGCTTAAAAGCGGTCGAGATCAAATCTAGGTTTTTTCTAGTTTTTCGAAACAGGTTTCTATAGCAATTCTAATTTTGAACTTGAAAATTTGAACTCCAATGAGGCTGTCCTCAATTGGTGTAAAACAATATTGACCATTTAATTTAAACTGGACTAGAGCTTTGCAGCAAATTGTAAATGTAAACGTTATGCTATACACGCACAACCGTGCGTCCACAGAGATTTTGATATTGGCTCTATTAGAAAGGACAAGCGTGTGCGTTACGTTTCAACGAAAAATATCTCACCTGAGTTTTAGAAGCTTCAGTCTGTTGGTAAGAAATCAAGGTCTAAACCACAAAGAGTCGAGCGAACGAGCAGAACAAATAATAACTGATGCAAATTTGACACGTATCTGAAATAATGAATCAATCAAATCCATATTTTGGAGAGGAACCACATCCGGTTGATTTCCGCGAAAGATCTGTGACATAATAAGAGGACAATGAGAACGTGGCAAATTTTGAATGAGTTAAAAATGGAAAGTTTATAATAGAGCTGCCATAAAATATTACCGACACATTATAAAGATTTTTGTCTGATATCCTTTTTTTTATTCGCCTACCAAGTGAAAAGCTTTTAAGAGTTTGCCCTGACTTCTTGGGACCAGCTCGTTAAAGATGTCTTAGGAGCTCAGGATCACTTCCGCCTTGAAGTCTAATACATTTCTAGGGAGAACTAAGAGGAACCACATCCGGTTGATTTCCGAGAATAATCCGTGACATATAACAACAAAACGACAGAACCAGTTGGAGAAGGAGGAAAGGAATTTTTGTAATACTGTCGTAAAATATATTTTCAACATACATAATAATTTTTAGAAGTAAGGTTTGACTATGATTATTGATAATTGTAAACTTGCTAAGTTAAATGGCGTACAATTTTGAGTGCGTGTCTTACAATACTGATAAGCAAGTCTGGTTAACACTTCGATTTTATCTGTCTACCATCTTTCTTTTCAAAAACTTCTGATTATTCTCTTCAAGAGACCCAAAGCCTTCGCGTACTAAGCAAATAATCACTTCAGGAATTCTTCTACTGATCTCAAATAGAAAGGCTTGTATTATTTATTTGTACTTCCAATTAGACTTACTCTAAAACTCGCAGTCTAACGCCACGGACGTGACAAAGTCTAACTGAATTTGCTTCTTTCCAATTAAGTGAAAGGAGATTTTTGTTTTTTTAATCCATCAGTATTGGCGAGTATGGCGCCAACCATTAACTCTCTGCGAACTTTCAAAGCTCAGGTAAATTGTGACCTCATTTCAACCTTTTCTCTTTTTACAGCGATCTTCGCTGCCCTCCCAAAATAGAAGAAAGATTGGCATAAATTGCATTGATTCACATGACGCTTACATATCGAAATGATTTATTAACTGTTGGCGAAGAATCTAATTTTATCTCTTGAGCTAAACACTCAGACGACAAAATCTGGATCGGACCGGATCGGATCACGGACTGGATCACGGATCGGATCAAGAATGGAAGTTTTTTCGCCCCAAAACCCCATGTAGTCACTTTCAAAAGGCTCTGTCAAGGATTGTTGTGTAGTGCCACCATAGACAAACGCAAGCGAGAGGCACGTATGATTTCATCAGTCAGCTATTTTTTGGTTTGTTTTTTGTTTGTTTGTTTGTTTGTTTTTTTTTCAATGCCATCTCATGTGCTACTTTTCCTTATTTCAATATCATTTACCACGCGCGAGAAAAGAGGCGATATGAGGTGTACGATTTTGATAGATATGACTGCTGAAGTGCACGTAAGCGATTTATGTAGTTCGTGAAAGTGACTAAATGGGGTTTTGAGGCAAAAAAAATCAAGAGGGGCCTACGCTCCTTTATTGTGTCACGCACACTATATTTTGGCTTGTAAGTCAACATTTTTTATTTAAATTTAAGCTATTTTATTATTTTTTTACTCTTATTTTTTTAAGTATCATTATTTTGTACACGATTTGATTTTTTTATTTTTCGAAACGTTTTGTTTTAATCCGTGATCCGATCCGGGACAAAGAAGTTCAGTTATTCTAAGCGGCTAATTTTCGATTGGTATCAGTTTGAGCCAAGCTTATTTACATTACATTTCTTACTCACATGTTCGTCAAATGATGTCGGTCTCGATCAGCGTCTCGACGTTTCTGTTTAAAAACAAACCATCAAATTAAAAAATAACCTCACTTTATGAAAGAAAAAGCGATGAAAGTCATTTTAAATTGTATCCCGGGAATATTTAACGTTTAGATAGCAGAGAAGACGAAAAAGGATACTCACGTTTTTAGCTTACGTCAAAGTGACTTCGTTTCACGTCGGGGCCGAACGCAGAACGTCAAACTTTTTCCCGCCAGTCATGCGCAGATGATTATTTGGAGTTTCCTTGAGAGCCTGCGGTCCCCGTCGCCGTCCCCGTTCTCGTTGCTTAAAGTCCCTTTTGTCGACGCCAGGTTGGAGAGTATATTTACTTTCGAAGAAGTTTAAGGAAATTTTAGGCTCTTTTTTGTGTTTTTTTTGTGCTTTTCGCTTTCTATTTATTTTTTTCATTAAATGGGATATAACTGTAATCTTGCAATTACGAAGAGGGTCGAAGTTTGGTCGATTGTTCGAAAGGGAGAGCAATGCAGTGGAATTTCCATTTGTAATTTGTAATTTGGACACCAACAAACCGAATTAAAAAGAGAATGTCATCACCAGATGATGCTTATCGGCATCATCCGCCGTTTGTCGACCAGAACACAACTGAGGGCACGTTAAGGTCATGTGGAGTGTCGGTAACAGAAATTTTTCGCGCACAGAAATTTTTCTCGCGGTTTCGCAGAAGATTTTATCAACCATATTTGTCGGAGCTTGGTTATGAGCTCAGAGTTAAGTGAAAAGCTCATAACCTGGCTCCACTCAGCCAATCAGAAGGCTAGAAATTCAACAAAAATAGAGAAGCCTTGACTGTGCTCTATTCTGTCGTAAAGCACGCAGGAGGCGGCTAGAGCACGAAAAAAGTGTAGGGAGAAATACACGACGTAATCGGGCCACACTTCTTGGGTAGGGAGACTCAAGAAGTGTGGCCGATAAAAACACGCAAGTTTTTTCACGTTACAACTAGAAAACAAACTGCATGTTCAAGCGTGTGTTTTATGAATGAATGACAGCCGAATTTACCGGAACATGCAGATTGCTCGGGACACAAAACTCAGCTGTAGTGACTGATGTCGCCTTCCACTCAACGCATCGGAAAGGATATCAGAGCAAGCTCTTAGCTGTTCTATCGGAGGGCGGCCGATGTAATTCCTGAGTCTTACTTGACTATTCTGCGATGACTGGAGATCGCCAAGTTGAGCTAGCCGCTATATTTCGTACCATTCCTGTTTTGTTCTGTTTTGTTTTTGAACACGAAAGTATATATACTACACGAGTGTTAGCTGTGTTTGATTTTTATTACCGTACGTAAGCTTGCAATCTAATTGCGTGAAATAATCTGAATACGGTTCCTTATGTAGGTCTTATACAGTCTGTATACAAAGTCGTGTTCAGAATATACAAAGAAGTGTCATGATGTTTAAGGTACTGTTTAAAAATCAGATACGTCAGGCCATGCTAAGAAAATAGCAGGAAGTTATACACTTGTAGCAAGATGTCCTATACGTCAGTACTCGTTTCAGTAGACATACTGTATACTGAAGGGGTTATGAAGTTCACTGATGTTGTGTGGAAACAACAAGTCCGTATATATGATGTATACTGCATGAAGTAGGAAGGGTACTGATATGTTCTGTGGAAGGTACGTGTACAGATTCTTACACTTGTGAAAGGATGACCTTTTTGTCATTACAGATGTCTGTATACTTCGCATAAACTGTAAGAAGTATAAGATTTATATACTATTGTTTTTTCAAGGTAGTTTATTCAAATTTTCAGTCTTCGTTCATTCACACAAGAATCTTTTGCAACCTCACTTCACTATTCAGGATCCTTTTCAGACGATTCACCATTTGCTTCACAGCTACTTCATTGAAATCATTCAGAAGGTTTACATCAGGTAAATTATAGTGGGGAAGATTTCCGCTCTCTAGATATAACAGCACTTCTCCAAGGTATCCAAGGAAATGTTTCCCTAAAGCTTCTTTGTTCACCCAGTCTTGGCTATGTTTCTCTATGTAGTGCATAAAGGCGGTCTTCAAGTAGTAGGAATCTAGTGGTAAAGATGTCACCTGCCCCTTAATCACGGTTTTCACGATTCGAAGAAGCTCGTGCTTACAGCCATGGTCTTTCTGGTCCTTCTGGTCCATGTTCTCGAGTACTTGCTTCTCCTCCAGCGAAAACGACTGGCTCCAGAAACTCTTGTGAGTGAAAACAAATCTTTTCCCTTTAAAAGGCCTGGGAACATTGTGTGGAAACAACAGTCCGTATATATGATGTATACTGCATGAAGTAGGAAGGTACTGATATGTTCTGTGGAAGGTACGTGTATAGATTCTTACACTCGTGAAAGGATGACCTTTTTGTCATTACAGATGTCTGTATACTTCACATATACTGTAAGAAGTATAAGATTTATATACTATTGTTGTTTCAAGGTAGTTTAGTCAAATTTTCAGTCTTTGTTCATTGGCACATATAAGCTATATAAGAATCTTTTGCAACCGCGCTTCACTATTCAGGATCCTTTTCAGACGATTCGCCATTTGCTTTACAACTACTTCCTTGAAATCATTTAGAAGGTTTACATCAGGTAAACTATAGTGGGGAAGATTTCCGCTCCTCAGATATAACTGCACTTCTCCAAGAAATCCAAGGAAATGTTTCCCTAAAGCTTCTCTGCTCACCCAGTCTTGGCTATGTTTCTCTATGTAGTGCATAAAGGCGGTCTTCAGGTAGTAGGAATCTAGTGGTAATGATGTCACCTGCCTCTTAACCACGGTTTTCACGATTCGAAGAAGCTCGTGCCTACAGCCATGGTCTTGCTGGTCCATGTTCTCAAGTACTTGCTTCTCCTCCAACGAAAACGACTGCCTCCAAAAAACCTTGTGATTGAAAACAAATCTTTTCCCTTTAAATGGCTTGGGCACATACCAGCTATCATTGACGTGGAAGCAAGGGACGAGATCAACTGATAATAACTTCTCTTTAGATCCTTTCCTAAGAATGTCCACCTGGACAGCTGGTCCGTGGGTACGCACAACCAGACGAACGTCAGAGAACGGTTCTTTAGGTTTGATATTATTCACTGCTCGCTGAACGATGCTTTGGAACCAACGATCTCGAAAGCTCTTAGGGTCAAGATAACCTTCATGACCCAAATACTTGCAGAAAATCGGATCACCTCTTGCCCTTAGACGGACATACCCAGGCACTTCGGATGCTATGACCTCGATTTCTGAGCTTGGCGTTCCCAGTACTACCATAATGTCTACTTCATCGGCAGCTTCAGTTTTCAACCTTTCGTAAAAACTTCCCGTGTACTGTAGATTCAGAATCTGAAGTTCGGACTTCTGTCGACAGAACTCTATGATCTGGTTTTCAATGTAATCGTTGACCAGCGTTCTGGTGCGAGTCTTGTTTAATTCAGAAATTTTCACATACTTTGCTGAAAAATCACGAAGTTCCTTCGTTAAAGATGTGGCGTCTCCTCTCCTTGCCTTAGCTAATGCCATATTCTGATAAATAAAGAAAAAGATCTTGTAAGCATTTATTTCCTTCCTTCATTCTTTCTTTATTTACTTCATTCAGCCGGTTTGAAGCAGCACTTTCATAGAGACTCTGATCAAAGTAACCGCGTTTTCATTTGAAATTTGCGTTTTGAACCATCATTCACACTTAATAAAAGCCCAAAACATAAATGGTGGCAAAACTAATCTATGCCTCCTTCGTGACGTTTATCATTTCCAATACACGGTTCGAAAAAGACTCTATAAGCCTAAATGACGTTACTGCTTAAAAGAGGCTATGAAATTACAATTGCATTACTTGCGTGATCTTTGAAACCTTCTACAATCGGAAAACTTAATAACATGCAAGAGGACGGGAAGGGCGTACGAGCATCACGTGCCAGCTTGGTAAGAAATTAAGCCTACAGACTTCCGGTTTTCTCAGAAAAACATGCAGGTGGTTCTCGGAAAAAGTAATTTTAAATTTATTACGGAGAAAACTGGTATCCGATACTTATGGATGATTTGTGAATTTAGTAGTTTACAATTAAACACAGTTTCTTTCGCTCCTTGCTAACATCACAACCTTTCTACTCACTTGAACGGGATGATCTATTTTTGTTCATTTCAATCTATCTCCCCTGACCACGTAGATTTTTTAATCATAAATAAAAGCATGGACGTGAGAGTTTGTCAGACCCGGATGAAGCTAGCTATGATATATGTATTGCGATAGCAGATGTAAACACCTACTGGAAAATATTTAAAGAAGCAAGCTTAAGCCGTGAATGCATTTACAATACACAGCGTTTTTCGAGGTTTCGATTCAAGCACAAGGCTTTTATTTCAGACGATAAATATCGTTTCTAACTAAGAGAACTAAAGAAACGTTCTCAGTATGTTGATCAATGAACATAAGAGACAATGCTTTCAGTTTTACCTGCTTTTGAAATTTTGCTTCTTAACCACTCCTGTTAAGAGTCTGTTGCTTTGTAATAGGTGTTGAAGCTTTCTTGAGCGAACTAATCAATACTGGAACCGTGTAATACAGCCTCTAACGTCTAAACTGTGGTGCATTCGGTCCAATTGAAAACTGGAGGTGAGATGGACTTACATATATAAGAACGTGACGTGACAGAATCGAGTCGGGGAATCCCCTGCACCGCACTTTTGTTTTCGATCTAGCTTAAAGTAAAAATTGCAGTAAATTTAGGGGAAATTTGAACGAAAAACGTAGAATCTGCCTTCTTGATATATAAATTTAAAAAAAAACCCAAATTCTTCCTTTTAAAAGAATATCCCGAGGTACACTCCTCAATAATGCTTGCTAATCACTAATATTTGCTGATGGAAGATCTTTTGTTTTGGTGTTCTGAGCACCATAAATAGAAATCGGTAAAAACCCCTCCATCTGTTATGCACTGTTTTGCTCTCAAATTTTCCAGTCTTTATTTATTCATGATTTTCGAAATATGTATCATAGAGAAAAAATATAAACAGTCACAGTACATTCCTTTTCTTTTTATGACTGAAAAAGTCAATTTTCAAAGGACTTTAAATACAGACTTATAAATAATTATGATTTGTGGTTCGATTGTTTAACAAATTTTATTTAAAAAATACATTTTGGCAAAAAGTGTTCGGAAAAAGGCAGAAAATTTTTTTTCACGTAAAATTGTCTAAATTATTGCTCCACGAGGCCAGTTAATGGAAGGAAATTATTACATAAAAGTTTCTGGCTTTCAGGTGGTTGCTTTCAAAGTAGTTGCCAATTATAGTAACCCAACAGATTTGCATGCGGGCAGGAACATCTTTTGTTTTGGAATAGAATAAGAGAGATCTTATTTTTTTAGCTCGGTAAACAAATAGAGAAAGATGTTTTTCGTCTGGTCACGAGCTTGGGACAAAAATTACCATCTCTTATTCTATTTACAAACATGACGCTATCGACATTGCTGATCCAAGCAGTATGCAGGACGCGTGTGATATGAACTTCGTAATAGACCTCGCTCACCGTAGAGTCTCATGGGCACTCAGAATGTTTTCCTTGTGCCACGCTCGTGACAAGACGCAAAACATCTCTATTTATCTTTTGTTTTGTTTTGTTTTTTTTTTTATGTCTGTCCAAGCGTAACCAGCATGAATTAGGGAAAAACCTCTCACGAAGCAAAACAAGTATTATGCCATAATGAAACCATTATCTTCTAGATTATAATATGATAAATACAGGTGTTTTTTCCCTTTAGGAGTTTCAGAAGAAAAACCCAGGATATTTAAAATCTTAAATCGAGCCCTCGTGAAAAAATTCTTCAACATTATTCTGTAATCGTACAAACGTCTTTCTGTTTTTTGCTTTTTATTGAAGTAGTAATGATAGAATTAATTCGCACAAGGGAAAATCTCCAACGCCACGGATTTTCAGCTTTAATTATCAAACTTATGAATGACCTGGAAAGCTAACTCACGGCTAAAGCTTCAATAAGAATAATGAAAAAAAAGAGAGAAATCAATAAAGAAAAAAAAATGAAGGGAAAAAAAGGTTGAACTGATTGATATGTCTGAGTAAATTTACTTCAAGTTTGCGAGCATCTTTTCTGTTGCAACAAATCATGATTCGGCTTGGACATTTTAAGTTACCGTATCAGGATAGGTGGTAGAAAGTGTTATTTGTAAAAGAATTTGATTTTTGTTTTTTGTTTGTTTTTTTTTGTTTCTTTTGTAATCATATGTGATATAACCGCAATCTTAGTCGCCCGATTTCTGAAGGACTTTGTTGTGACAGTTTTTAGTTGCGGATCTGGTTGGTAGAAGATGGCAAGTCATTGAAGTAAAAGTAAAACAGCCATTTTTTTGCAAAAGATGAAAAAGGGAACATGCTATACACTTCCAGTATTGTGTTCACATCACCTGGGTTGTGTATATTTTTTGACTCTGACTCAGAAATAAATTGAGGGATTCAAACTCGATGAAATTTCTGTACCAGAAATCAGAGTGGCTCGTATGTCTGTGGGACATTTCACTAATTACCATTATGAAATCATGGTTTACTACCAGGGAAGATTTCACAACGTTAACAAATGTTTCTGGTCCGCCATGTTTGTTCGTCAACATATAGTTTAGTATTATCAACTGAGCTGATAACGTAAATTGGCCAATTTACCAACTCAGTTGACCAAATTACTATGTTACACTCTCCCACCGACGAAACAACCACTGTTACTTTGGAAACTTACCCTCCTTCTTTATATATTTTGTCAACCATATTTGAACTTTCATCGTCCACATGACTATAGATTGGAGTGTTAAACCTGCATGTGTTACAAGACATCTACTTAAAGATAAAAACGATTTGGTAAGTCAGCCACAAACCAAATCTCTGCCAAAAACGATTTTTTGGGGGGTTTATAACTAGCCCCTTACCAAAAAAATGTGCAGCTCGAGTTCGGTAAAATGGTACATATCGCTGACAACGCGAAAAAGGCAGGGTGGTCGAAGCTATTCAAGAATTTTGTTTAACCTTTTTTCGCTTTCCAGAATCCTTCTCAAACGATTTTCCATCTGCTTGACAACTTCTTCCTTAAAATCATCCAGAAGGTTTGCATCAGGTAGGAAATAGTGGGGAAGACTTCTCCTTTCCATATGAATCCGTAATGTCTCTAGGAAGTTAAGGAAATGCTTTCCTAACGCGTCTCCGCTCGCCCAATCTTTGCCTCCTCCGTAAATGTAGTGCATAAAGGCGTTTTTCAAGTAAAAGGAATCCATTGGTAAAGATGTCTCCGGTCTTTTCATCACGGTCTTCACGATTCGGAGAAGCTCGTGCCTGCAGCCATGGTCTCCCCTGTCCATCAACTGTAAAACTTGCTTCTCCTCTACCGAAAACGACTGCCTCCAAAAAAGAAGCTTTGGTTCCGACACAAATCGTTTCCCTTTCAGAGGCTTGGGCACATAATATTTACCTTCCACTTGGAAGCAAGGGACGAGATCAACTGATAAAATTTTTTTAATGTCTAACAGCACAGCTGGTCCGTGGTTACGCAAAACCACAGGAACTTCAGAATATGGTGGTTTAGCGTGAATATAATTCACTGCTCGCTGAACGAGACCGAACCAAAGATCTCGGATGCGTTTGGGGCTAATAAATCCATTATCCCACGCATATTTACGTACCACTGAGCTTTCTTTTGCCATGAGAAGGACATACCCGGGCACATCGGATTCTATTACCGTGATTTCTGCTGTTTGCGTTCTAAATACTATCATGATATCTACTTCATCAGCGGCTTCAGTCTTCAGCCTCTCGTAAAAACTGCCAGTGTACTCCAGTTTTAGTATCTGAATCTTAGAATTCTCCCGACAATACATTATGATCTTGTCTTCAATATATTCTTTGACCAACTTTCTGACGAGAGTCATGTCTTCCTCAGAAATCTTGACGTACTTTACGGAGAAATCACGAAGTTTCTTCGTTAAAGTAAGAGCGTCTTCTTCCCTCGCCTCGGCCTCTGCCATTATCTGATGCATCAGTGATGAAAACGTTATTAATTATTTTAAAAATTAGCATTAGGGGTTGTCATTAACACAAGCTGAGTCAGCGTGCATAGGAAGTAATTACAGACCCCTAACCACAGTAATCATTATTGACACTTTTCTCTTCTTCTTCCAGTCCTGTCTTCCTTCCTTATCTACTCTCCTCTAATTTAAAGGCCCATTTCCAACCATGATGCAACGCGCGCTACGACCCAATCTCCTGTAACACGAAATTCCCAGATCACTGAAAAACCTTCTAAAATCTTCTTTCTCAAGAGCCATCCTGGACATATAGTCAACTGTTGATTAATAACTAAACCAGACGTTTAGTTATTCGAAGACCGTGTCCGGTAGTGTCCGGTGAAAATTTTCTTAGTGTCACTCTTGGATCTCTTCGCACTCTGTGCTCAAGGTTAGCAAAACGGACAATGTTGGAATTTTTTCACTTTCTTGAAGCGCTTGAGGATTGTAAATGAAGATAGAATATTTTCCAACGAAAAATTGGTATATTTCAAAGAGAAATATGGAGTCATTTGAGGACCGTGTCCAGTCGTGTCATTGGAAAGTTTTTAAGTGTCAAGCGTTTGGATGGCTTCGTACTTTGTATACAGGGTTAGCGAAAAACGTCAAGTTCGAAATTTAAGGCTGCCTGGAAGCGCTTGAGGATAGTAAATAAAGGTAGAACATTTTCGTATAAATATTTTTTGGATTTCGAAGAGAAATATGGAAAAATATCGGACTGCCGGACGTTTTTTTAAGACAAATAAAGACGATTTACCTGTTGAAACTAGACGCTCCCGGAGCGTTTACTCGGGCTTCGTATCGGACTATCTAATCGTACTTTACAAGTATCGAACACAGTAAAAACGAAGAGTCTTGATTTTTTCAACATCTGAGGTGTTCGTCTGGGCATCATAGTCATCATAGTTCGTTGTTCAAGGAGTCAGAAGTCGTAGTTTTGTCAATGTTTTCGTAGTTTGAACTCTTATATGGTTTAATGGTTATCTCATGAGAACTAGTATGAACTTTGTTAATTTGGCTATCTTTCAAGCTGTAAAATTCGTGGACCGACCGTGGACTTTCTGGTCTTTTGGATCCCACGCACCACCATGACCACGAAGTCGACAAAACTAACACAGAAGGTCATAGTCCTTGTGCAAATATTAACTTTATCAACTTATGCCTATTGTGTCACGATTGTTTGGACCTACCACGAAGATCTAAGACATCCAAGGTCAAGCAAAGCTTAGCAAAGGACGTAAAAGACAAGAACACTGTCACAGCTGCCCTGGTTTATTGAATTTTGTCAAGACTCTATTTACTTTGAATGTCTGGTACCCTTCTAGGTCAAAGAGCGCTCACTTATCACGGAAATCTGATTAGTAAGTCTTGTAAATCACGCGTCAAGCACTTGTAAAAATAACAAATCACGCATCATGTTGTGATGTCCGGTCCCGCATCACGCGGATAGCTTGGGTCAAATCACGCGTCACCCAGCAAATTTTGGAGCCATCACGCGTCACGCAATAACCCTTTGCCATCCTCCAAGCACTGTCCACCAACTTCACTCGGAATAACTGCAAGCCTATGACTCGTTTAGCTGTTTATGTTGCAATATAATTGGTTTGGGATTTTACAGTACTCGTGGTAATGTGGAGATGGTGTATCGGGCTGAACTGGTTCGAAACGTCAGAGTTTTGAATTATCAGCAGAGATACAGACGTCAGTATAATGACTGTGACAAATTGTAAGTAGGACTTACTAGTTTTGCTGAGCTACTAGTGAAATGCCATTGAGGAAAGAGTTCGTTACATCACCTCCTACATCACCGATTCTACGAACTGGCTGTTCTCTAGACATGCATAATTTTGCTCTAGGAAACGGAGCTTTTCAAAACCGTTTCTGAAAGTATCTTCACAGAATAGAACCATTTTTGATAAAAAATGCAGTTTTCGCTGAAATTAAATTAAATGCGGAAATATTTTAATCTCGCTCTCTCGTTCTTAATTCTACACTGTAAGCGTATTAAAATATATTTTGGACACTGGTTTCGGAATCCGTGGTTGAACTGTCAGCACAATCGAACCGAAATTTGCATAATAGAAAGCGACAGTACAAACGATATACAAAACTGAATCTGGAAAACGTTCATTAAACTACTTACCACTGTGTCAATGAAGGTGAGCTTTTTCGCTATGTCAATTGCGAAGGGAACCGAGAGGATTTGTATTGTTGATGATCGAAAAATGCGATCAAAACGACTTCGGGCTTCCATTTATTATCACGAATACAATCGGAGTCAGTTTGCTAGCGAATGCCCATCGAAAAACTACTAGCACGAGCGATACGTTACGTTATGTTCAATTTGCGACTTCTAACGCTTTTTTCTCTATGTAAATATATTTTTTCTTTTCTATTAAAATCGAATTCCCACATAATACGAGGATTCAGAAATTCGAACCAAAGGTGATAATAAACAATGGCTACCCTTTCGTTTCTGTCGAAGGACAGTTGATTCGATGCGCTATTCAAAACTTTTGAAACGGCAGTACATGTCGACTAGTATGAATGAATTGACCTTGTATAAGAAATTGACTGGTTCGAATAATAAGTAACGTAGGGTGACGTGCTGATCCTTTTGACCACAATAATAAGTCTGCTTCGCAGTAATCATGGCGTTTCTAAAACTATAAGACACTATAGCCCTGTTTAGCTAACTCAACTCGACAAAGGCACCACTGAATTGGGGTCTCTCCTCGAAAGGGTATATCAGAGTGCAATGATCCATAGCTTACCTGATCTTTTGTTGCGGCGTACATCGCAAAATATGAGTAAAGGGGAGAGCTTGCAATTCAATAGGCCCTGCGTGTCAGCCTAGTAAATAGGAAGTATGCAAATCAAACAGTACTTCCGGTTTTCTCAGAAAGATATGTGATTGTCAGAACACAATTTTGTTTTATTGGAAGTAATTACAAAAGTATGATATGTCGCGGCAGCAAGGTACTTTTATTAACATGGAAATCTACTTCCTCTCAAAAAGTTCTTCTAAGCATCTGCGATTTATTGTGGAAAACAAAACTGCTGCCCATTCTACGCAACTTATAGGCTACGAATAAAAGTGAAACAGACATGAATGGAAAGGCATGAAGAAATGGAAGGCAAGCCGGAGAATCCCTTGCGTCGCAGTTTTACTTTCCTATCCAGAACAAAATCTTGCAACGGATTTTTCTTAGATTTAAACGAAAAATGGGGGTAGAATCTGCTTTCTCGCTGCATAAACTTTTTCAAAAGAACGCTTGATGGGTCTGTTACGAAGGATATGTTTAGGTATCTGCGTGAAAAGTATTTGAATGTTCGGAAGCCGTTTTGCTTTCGTGTCGAGTGTTCTATGCATAGAAACCCGACAACTTTTACGTCACGTGTTTCAGTCACAAAGCGTACATCATATGATCCCTTTTATTATTATTACTTAGCTTCATTCCAACTACAGAAACAGGATCTATAAAGCGGACAATACAATACTAATACAATCTACGATACTATACGTACAGCAATACTACTAACTACGTTACCTAACCTACAATACTGCTATTTTTTAATTATAATATTACTAATTACGTTGCGTTACTAGCGATACAGCTAGTTAAGTTACGTTACTTATGAAATTACTAATTACTTAACGTTACTTAAAACGTACACTTTTTAATGCACTCTACATTACTAGTGGACGCTAATTACCCTAATTCTTACCCTTTTGTCCTACATAGCGTTAAAAGCGGGAAAAAAAAGCCAACAAGGAAGAAAGAAAAACAAAAGCAGAACACATTTACACCATAAACTTTACAATGCTTTTTTTTAAAAAATATGATTATTAGCAAGCGAGGTTGAACATTACTGAACGTCTTCAAAACAACAGCATTGTGTTGATATGTCATAGGCGAAACAAGATTTTGATCTAATTACGAGGAATATTTCTTTAAAAGTTATTTAAAGGAAAAATCATTTGGAAAACCAGTACTTGCACGCTAATGTAATGTTCTTGAAATTTAACTAACAAGAGCACTCGAAAAAAATTTATCCAGATGCTTTTTCGCCTCGTTGGACGGATTAAAGGCAAACGATATGCCACACAGGGATAAATTTCCAATAGCGCGTTTTAAATCTTGAATTGCATTGTAAAATACCAGTAAATGACCTGGAAAGCTACCTCATTAATTTAGCCTTATCAAATATGGATGAATGAATAGAAACAAAATTGAAAAAGAAAAGAACGGATGAAAAAAATGATAATAGCATTTGATGAGCCATGCGGGAGTCACAATACAATTGCTTTCATTTAGAAGATATGATTGAAGAAATGTCTCCAAGAATAAATGAGCGTGTAAGATGTCAGATTTCAACAAACACTAAATAATACCTCTAGATATAGGACAGTTGCTGGTCCACTTGCGGAAATGAATTCCACTTGCACGACAGCACAAGTTAAACTACGAAGTCACTTTTTTGTCTGTTTATTTTCCATTTGTTTGTTTAATGCTAGGGGACAACTGTCTACCGTCAAATAACCAATCTTTTTTTTTTTCTCACCTTAAGCGTGCCAATGAATGTGGAATTTGTACCAGGAAAAAAAAATGAGAACAAAGATTGAAGAATAATTGTTAGCTACCCGTCGTTTGGTCTCTAGAAAGAAAAACTATTCAATTCTGCTTTGCTATCAATGATTTTTTAATAACGGTAAGACATTTCCCTATATTAATTTCGTTGTGTTCAGATGCCAGGTAACCAAACACAAAATGAATATAGGTTGGATCGGTAAACCACCTTACAAGGTGATAGGGAACAAAATAATATGGTGAATAAACTTAAAATTTGATGTCCTCCAAGGGACATGTTCTGGCGTTTAAATTTAGCCATTTCCAAAATCGATAATCGAAAGTTCAATAAAATGATAGATAGCTTTGATTGAACGAGAGAGACAGACATGGCAGAGTCATGAAGGCTATTCGAGTATCTTGTTCAGCCTTACTTCGCTGTTTAGGATCCTTCTTAAACGATTCGCCATCTGCTGGACAACCCCTCCCTTGAAATCATCCAGAACGTTAACATTATCCAACCAACGGTGGGGAAGATTTCTGCTCGCCATATAAATCTGTAATTCTGTAAGAAATCCAAAGAAATTTCTCCCCAACGCGTCTTTACTCCAGTCCAGGCCTTTCCTTTCGATATAGTGCATAAAGGCGGTCTTCAAGTGGTATGAATCCAGTGGTAAAGATGTCACTGGCCTCTTGACTACGGTCTTCACGATTCGAAGGAGCTCGTGCCTACAGCCTCGGTCTTCCCTGTCCATGGACTCTAGTACTTGCTTCTCCTGTAACGAAAACGACTGCCTCCAAAGAAACTCATCATTAGACACAAATCGCTTCCCTTTAAAAGGCTTGGGCACATACCAGCTACCCTCGACTTCGAAGCTAGGGACGAGATCAACTGATAAAAGCTTCTCATCAGAGATTCCTTTCCTGAAAATGTCCACCTGGACAGCTGGTCCGTGACTACGCACATCCAGACGAACCTCAGAGTATGGCGATTTTGGTTTAACCTTATTCTTTGCTTGGTGAACAAGACTGTGGAACCAGCTATTTCGAAGCTTCTTGGCATTAATGTAGCCTTCTGTACTTAAATACTTCTCGAACATTTGGGCATTTCTTGCTCTGAGACGGACGTACCCGGGAAATTTGGATTGGATGACTTCGATCCTTGTACCTTGTGGTGTTTTCAGTATTACCATGATGTCGGCCTCATCAGCAGCTTCAGTCTTTAAACCCTCGTAAAAGCTGCCGGTATACTCCAGCTTTAGTATTTCAATCATGGAATTGTCTCGGCAGTACGATATGATCTGGCCTTCAATGTAGTCTTTGACCAACGTCCTGGCACGAGTACTGGTTTCTTCAGAAATCTTCACATAATCTTCGGAGAAACTTCGAAGTTTCTTCGTTAAAGATGAGGCGTCTATAATCTAATGCATGAAGAGAACGATATTTGAGTAAACCGATGCTGAAAGATGGAAATAAGGGAGATGGGAGACGATATTGATGGCGTTAAGTAGTGAAATCGCGTTATTTCCTAGAGGAATTTATGTTAAGTGTCGGGCGTTCGTGCGGAGAGGAATGGACATCCAGGTAGATGTCATATGACGTAAGAAAAAAACCATGTGCTAGAGAGAACCGAGCGATAAAAAAGTTGTGAGGATAATCCTATGTTCAGTTGGTAAAGAATACACGTGGAAAACCTAAAACCGTGTGGATATTCTGTGTAACAATGGCTTCTAAGAAAATTTTATCTAGTACTCTCTTATGTATGCGAGCTCAGTCAGAGGGTCCAACATAGGTTTGGCGGGATGTAAGATAAGGCTTAAAATCGAGGCGGGATGTGGGATATGAGGCATTTTAAAGACCGGATACAGGATGAAAATAGGAGGGCAAGACCGTTATATGTTCCGTTTCGAAGACAGGATAGGGAATAGGAAGGGTACAGACAGGATTATAATTTAGCTAACGAGTCACACGACCTCAGAGACATAAATTGGGCTTAACCGGCCTAAATGACCCCGTAGTACGTCCTATTTTCTCTTTATTTGCTACAAGTGCTTGTATGCCTTCACGGCTCCAAATTAGTACGTTTTAATTTTGCTGTCACGATTATTTCTTTGAATAAACGCCCATTTCTGTATGATATAATCGATTCTTTTTGAAGACGCCACATAGCAATGGTTGTTGTTTGTTTTTCCCTGCTGGAGGAGGGCGCGTTTACGTCCTTCAAATTTCACTTCTTATGGTGTGTTGTTAATTAAGTTTTTCGGGTTACTTCTTTGTTCAAAACAACCTCTTCCAAATGTATTTTGAACAAATTTTTGCTTTGAAGAATAAGTCCTGAGGAGTCGTAACGCCTCGCCTTTAGCAAAGCGTTTCTTTGCTTCCGGTGGGTGACACGTTGTGTATGAATTGGAATGTTTTTCATTGGAATGTCATTCCGGTGAAAAATTCTCGTACGCAGTGCATACTATGTTCATTTTCTCAGCTCGTAATATATTTGTCATGATAAGCTCGGAACGTGTATTGAAATGAGAAAGGTTTGTTTTGTTTTTCTGTGAACTTCATGAAGTTTGTTGTATCTTTGAGATATGACTTCTACTGTTTACCGATCGGCAGAAGAATTTGATCGCTTTTCTGTTGGTCCGCCTGAGTTTTTGTATATCACCCATAAATACTAAAACACACCAAAGAACTACCGTTTTTTCGAGCTGGCTAAATATGCTTTAAGCAAGTCCTTGCGGTTCTCCACAAACAGGAGATCGGGAGTACATTATCAAAATTGTTGAGGCTACAATTTGTCCATCAGTTTAGATCAGGCGGGGAACTATAGAAACTTGGGTTTAACCAGGCGTGATCGAGATGAATTGTTCATTGCGGCGGGATGGAAAGAAAAGCGGCAGGATGCGGAATTGGGAAAGTGTATTTTGGACCCTCGAGTCAGTGTGGTGGGTTCCTTTTACTTGACAAATTGACCGCAATTTTCCTTTGTATATAACCTAATTGATCATAGAAATGACGCCATCAAAGTTCAAACCACGAGTTTTTGCAAAATTAAGGTAATTAATTCTATTTTACTATATCTACTCTATTTTCGACCAACATCCACTCTAAAGCGCACAAAAACGCAGAAGTTTACAAAGGCCTTTATTGCGCAGTATTCCGCTAACTTCCGCTACATGACTTTAGAGTTTCTGAACCCTTCTGAAACCATTTTCCGAAAGTCTCTCGCCAAAATACCAACATTTTTATGGAGAAAGCGCAATTTTCCAAACG